ATTTCCTTTTGGCAAAACATGTCCACCATTTAGACGGCGGCCCGTTATCCGTCTCGAAGACCCGATTGGCCAGACGTTGACCGCATTCCTGTCGCAGTTGTTGGATATAAGAGCGCATCAATTCTGTGGATCACAAGAGACAAACACACCATTAGATGATAATCAAAGACATATAAAACAATGTGGATTCAAGACCTGCTTCGTCGCCATTCTTGGGTTTCTGAAACATTGAATTGAGTGGAAAGCGTGGATCGCCGGGAATGTCGAACCGAGTGATCGCCAACTGAGCCAACTCTTGGATCGCTTGGTTCTTGTTATGGCACTGATGTGTATAACGTATATATCAGTGATAAATGAAATTACATTTAGTATTACAGACAATATTGTCGGCCATTTGTGGCAAAGAGTGGTAACAAAACCTTTTGGATTTTCTTCAGACATTCAATGATATAAAGAGTCAAATAAATGATGACTCGATCGGAATCGCTCTGAAACATGGAATCAAATCAATGGTCAAAATCAATGGACACTAAGTTTAAGCGATAATTGTATCAATACTTGGATCTCATAGGAGGCGAAGAAGACGTTGGCCTTGAAGTAAAGGATGGCCTCATCCACGATATCGATGTCATTCAAGTCCTCCTTTCCCACTGCGAGAGCGGATCCATTCGGTGATCGCGTAAGACATGCCGTCAAAGACAATACAAGAGATAATTAGTTGTTATGAATATCAATGACAGACAATAGCGTCTGGTTTGAGACAAACGGTGGTCTGAGTTGAGGGAAACGACGGGTCCTCTGAATTTGGTCCGAAACGTGAGTAAAGAGATGTTTGCTATGGATTTGCTGGACGTCAGCGTCGAGTGATAGGACGGCATTGTCTTCACCACCACTTCTTCCGCTTCTTCGCCGGTCTTCGGAGATAATTGTTATCTAATTATGAAATCAATTGTAAACACAATTGAAATCACGAGTTGTGTTATGTTTTGCTGTGAAATACAGACCAACAAAAACACACCCAATATGTGTCACATACTGTGTTCGCTACGCATATAACGTTACGTCAGTTTTGATGGGAGGGAGGATATAGTTTACTCCCTTCCAGTATGTAATGCAGTGGTTATGGGGGTTGCGTGGAATGGTTTGTAGACACGTTGTGTTTGTGTGACCCCAAACATCGCTGTAAATACTGACGTAACGCATCCGCTATTGTCAATGACTGAGCGAAACATCTATTGGCTATCATTTGAATCATTCATTCAACGCATAACTCAATACCCACTCAACAGATGACTCTCAATACGACTGAACACTACTTTTATCAATACTTTAATTATTTCATCATTTGTTTGATTTTGAATCAAAAAAGTTTTGAAAACTTTTTTGTGTAGATTTTTATAATGAAAAATACTTTTTAATAAATGTTTTGAGTTTAAATACTTTTAATTTAGTTATAATTAACTTGTTTTTCAATTGATTAATAAATCTTTAATTTAGTTTTAAAATTTTTTAATTTATTTTTACCGATACTTACTATTGCTCTTAAAAATCTGATTATTTCTTACTATTATTACTGAACTATTGATTAGTTTTAATGAACAAAAAGTTTTTAAATAAAACAATTGAATATAACATTATTTATGTGTTGAAAATGATTGCATAAATTATTTTTTGGGTCATTTATTGTGCATTAATTTCAATGAGAAAACGCATGTTTTTGATTAAGTGTTGATTTAATTACAATATTAATTGTTTGTGTTAATTATGTTTAAGTGAAAAATGTCTAAAAACTACAGCAAAGACTCTTTCGATAGGTTTGGCGACGATTTGTGCGAAGAGTTGTTGTCTTTCCTCACACTTGAAGACCGATTCAGATATGAATGCATTTCAAGACAATGGCATCGATTGGTATTCAACACACAATTGGAGTTTTGTATTAAAAACAGATATAACAGAATTTGGGACAAGAATTTAAGTGTCATTAAATGTATTGTCAAAAAATGCACAAATATTACACGTATTTGCTATGAAAACAACACTTTCGTTGCAATAAGCAATAATTTTATTAATTTAATTATAAAACATTGCAATCAATTGAATGACATTAGAATTGACTTTCTTTGTCTCAGCTCTGAAATGATTGACAAATTTTTCGCAAAGTTTACCAAACAATTGAAAAGAATTATATTTGATTTCTATGAACGACAATACGATTTGATCTGCAAATGGCTTAAATTGTGCCACAATTTAAATGAGGTAAAAAATTACATGAATTCACATAAAGATGGCTATGATTTATCATTTGTACCATGTTTTGAAAATCGCACATTATTTAAACAATTAATTAGTATTTATGCAAAACCGTCTATTAATTCAAAGTATTTCAACCAATTAAACGCATTTCTCCAAAACTATTCAAATCAGTTGAAATCACTTGAACTGCAATTACATTTGCGTAAAACGGATGCCATATTTGTCCTGTTGTGTGAAATGCCGGCACTAATTCATATGACTTTAAACTGCTCTTTTGGATTCACAAACTTTTCATTATTATCCACTTTTCTCATACAAATCGCTCCCAAATGTCCGCATCTGAAAAGTCTTAGCTTTTACACCGTTTGCGGTCGTATTGAACCCATATTTGAGACAATTATTGCAAACTTTAAACAATTAAAACGATTAACAATTACTGTCTGTAGCTTTTGGGACGAGACAACCGATTGGGTGAATGGAGGAAAACAATTAACACATTTAAACATGCTCAATCTCCATCCAGACCAGTTATCGGAATTATTGGCGGCCAATACCGGCCACTATTTACCGAAAGTCCGGTACTTAAGAGTCGAGGACCCGAACAAAGAACGGTTTGACTGGTCATCAGAAAATATACACACCGTTGATGTCAATGAAGACAACTTTAAGGTACAATTGACGGCTCAGTTTTTGGATCAATTTCCACGACTTTATAAATTCAATTCACAAATTATTAAATAATTGTTTTGTATATTTGTTACGCTTATAATATCAGAATATGTGCATTAAATATCTCATTGAATTGTTTTAATTTTAGAAACAAAAATCTAATCGTAAATTAATTCATAACTTATATTGACAAATATTGTATAATTAAATTTAATGCTATCTATCTAATGCTAATGTAATGCTATGTATTGAAATCTAATTAAAATTTATGCTAACTAAAATAAAACAATCGTTTAAACAACATTTTTATTATATTCTTATAAAACAAAACATAATTTACATAAAACACTATGAAATTTGTCTAAACAATAACTATTGTCACAAAATTTTAGTCTTTTTGGTGATAAAACATACAAATAATGCTATGAATAGTAGGCCTTCGATGGCAAACATGATTAGAGTCGCGATCTTAAAGTCATACTTCTCGACAAAGACACCGGCGATCGTCGGACCGACAAAACCGCCCAAAGATATGCACGAGAAGAAGAGTCCCGACACCAGACCATATGTGGCCCTATTCTGGCCAAACCCTCGGTTCCGTATACAATAGGTCAGTACATGTGAGTAACCGCTCACTTGTTTGGCAGCAGACCCGACACCGAACAACAGTAGCGCCACAATAACGAGCCATAGGTTGGTCTCATAGCCGGTGCCGGGCATCGGCCCAACCAATGCCAGTCCGGCCATAGATAGCACTGTTCCCGCCATCGAGAATATGGTCAGATTGCGGTCAAATATATCGCACAGTTTGCCCAACACGGGCGCTGTCAGGGCGTACATGAGGCCCAACGTGACAAACACTACGCCCGTCATCAACGGTGACAATTGAAACTGTCTTATGTGCGGCTCAAGAGTGGATGCGTTGAATCCGATGAGACTCAGCGCCGTTAAGATCACAAACGAGTCCAATATCACGATAGGATCCATGAGGAATGTGCCCACACTTATTGTCACCGGTTTGCCGCTGCCGTCGGCCACCGTTTCCGGGTCTCTCTTGTAGTCATCGGCGGTTTGAGTGTTGTTTGCGGTCAAAAACATAAGGATCAGAGCCGCGCTCAGAGTCAACAGCACTCCCAACACCAGAAACGGTACGGTATATCCGCCCCATTCGTATAGAGCGCCGCCCAATACCGGGCCCGTAATGAGCCCGAGACCGAAACAGGTCTCCATAATTGAGAACATGGTAGCCGTGGTCTCCGGGAACCGATAGGTGATCAACGAGTAACTACTGGTGGCGAAAGCGGTGGCGCCCAACGACTCGATGATACGTATGGCATACGCGGGCGCTATGAAGAGTACACCACTGGGCAAGTGATCCAATAGACCGAACCCAACGGTACTGATACCGGCCAACGCCAGACCGAAGCCGCACATCAGGTTTGCCGGTATTTTGGACACCAATTGTCCGAATTTGAATGATGTCAACAACATTACCAACTCATATATTGAGAATATTGATGAATAAATGATGGGGGTCGCACCCTTTAATTCTATATGGTAATTATACAGTAGAATTAATAAAAATGTACTTTATATTGCTTACTTATGCATTCAATAAGTTTTTATTATTTTCATAAATGTCAATCATATATTCAAACTGTTTTATTACAAGTACTCTTTATTAAACTATTTCAATGTTAAAAATTCATAAGCTGTGAGAATTATACCGTGATTGTTTTTTGTTTTATTATTTAACAGTTAAAAATATTTGATTGAATTCCATGAATAAATAATTTGTGGTAATAAGTGCTTGTGTTTATGTTTTTAAATCTAAAAAGGTACCTGTTTTTGCGTATATAAAATTCACAAAAACAACCTTGATAATCAATGCATAACAATTGTTTTTTATGTTTTAAATACTATTTATATTAATTTTTAAAATGATTTAAAAGATAAGAAATGATGACTGATTTGGGAATAGATTAGAAGTATTATTAAATACAGTATATAACGAAAATATCAATAATATTGTAATAGATTGCTATTGAATAGTGGTTTATATAACTATTGTAAACAAAACGCTGAGCTTAACTTAATATTTATATTTATCAGACACTGTTTGACAACTGTCTAAACATTATGCTAAACATATTTATCATTTAGTGATTGATTATTAATCTTATATAATGTTTAGTTTACGAGAAGAAGAGGTATTTGCTGTAATGTTTGGGTTGTGTTTTTCTGTATGGTATGGTTACTAACGCTTGTATTAAGTTTTATTCAAATCATTATTTTCTATATTAAAAATTTATTTTTAAAAAATCCAATAAATAATATATCAATAAATTCAATAATATATGCGTTTATATATGTGTCCAATGCATAAATAAGACATTTTTATGGCTTATATTTATATATGCAGTGATATTTATAAATCAGAGAGAG